AGCTATTGCTTCACACAGACTGGCTGTCTCGTGGGAAAATGCTACTGAGACTTTATGAACTTCGCAATTAAGTTTTTGTGTTCTTGACGGAGCATCTGCATCCTCTTGCTGTGCAGCTTGAGGATGACAAGTGGGTGGCGCGCCTGGCATATCTTGCTGATGTGTTTACCAAACTCAACGAGCTCAACCTATCACTTCAGGGCAAGGAGTCACATATCCTGAAATTGTATGACAAAGTTCAAGGATTCACAAAAAAGCTCAAACTATGGGAGAGGAAATGTGATGAGGGAGACGTGAGCTGTTTCCCACTTACTCAATGCCCATCTTGCCACAACTGGTGTTGCCAGGGGTCCAGTGGTCAAACTGGTGCAAGCACACCTGTCCAAACTCTTCACTGATTTCAGCCATTATTTTCAGGACATTGAAAATAAGTCAGAAAGACTGGATTGGGTGAGGTAACCCATTCATTGTGAGTGAGAGCAGCAACAGCCTTCCAGCAATGCTGCAGGAGCCTCTGATGGAATTATCATCTGAAGATGGCATATGCTGAGAAGTCATTGACTGAGTTTTGGTGTGATGTGGAGAAGGAATATCCTGAACTGGGAAAACATGCACTGATTGAACTTTTGCCGTTTGGTTCTACTTATTTGTGTGAGGTGACCTTCTCAGCTTTAACACAGATCAAAACCAAGCAGAGGAACAGACTGGATGTGGAGACCAGACTGGTCACAGCTGTTTCCACACTGCCTCCAGAACTATCAAAGCTTATGAAAGACAAGCAAGCTCAAGTGTCTCATTAAAGCTCACATGACTGTTGAAAAGAAACTGCTAGGCCTATACTGATTCTGGATATTATTATTAAAGTGTTTTGTTCCTGAATTAAAGTTGAAATGCCTGTTTAAAGGGGACTTATTCAAAGGGGGTCCAGGTTTAAGCCTAAATGTTACAAGATATATATAGCAAAGATTATTTATTGATTATTTTGATTTCATATGTATTTATTATTTTCAAGGCAACATATTAATTTTTATTTATTTTTATTGAGTGATTTAAGTTAAAATTAAGAAAATGCCTGAGAATTAGATGTTCAAATTAAGGAGATGAAATAAAGTTATTTTCATTCAATAATCAGTTACGTTCTACTTGTGAAGGATCATCAGCACGTATGAGTGAGGGGGTACTCATGGTATGACAAAAGGCTCAGGGGGTACACAAGACAAAAAAGGTTGGGAACCACTGACCTAGGGTACGACAAATCACTACACCGGATAATGGCCCGATTTTATTGGCCGGGCATTCGCGCAGATGTGAAGCGGTGGTGTGTATCTTGCCGTGAATGTCAGCTGGTTAACCCACCGGCCATCCCCAGAGCGCCTTTGCGCCCGTTACCATTGATTGAGGTGCCTTTTGAGAGAGTTGGTATGGACCTCATCGGGCCATTAGACCGGAGTGCACGGGGATATCGCTTTGTACTAGTCCTAGTGGATTATGCAAAGCGATATCCCGAGGCAATGCGTAATATCTCTGCAAAGAGCGGCAGGCACTGTTTCACATTATCTCCCGAGTCGGGATCCCGAAAGAGATCCTGACTGACCAGGGCACACAGTTTATGTCACGCACACTACGCGAGCTGTATGAACTATTGGGCGTCCATTCAATACGGACTAGTGTTTACCATCCGCAGACCGACGGCCTGGTGGAACGGTTTAACAAAACACTAAAGAACATGGTTCGTAAGTTCGTTCACGAAGATAGCCGTAATTGGGATAAATGGCTAGATCCTCTGTTGTTTGCAGTGCGGGGGGTGCCCCAGTCCTCCACGGGATTTTCTCCCTGTGAGCTGTTATTTGGTAGGAAGCCCCGGGGTGTTTTGGACCTAGTTAAGGAAAACTGGGAGGAGGGTCCAAGCACCAGTAAAAACGAAATACAGTACGTTATGGACCTGCGAGCAAAACTTCACTCACTGGGGCAGATATCACAGGAGAATTTGCTCCAGGCTCAGGAACGTCAGCAGCGCCTGTACAACAGAGGGTCGAAACTGAGACAATTTTCACCGGGAGATAAAATGCTTGTATTAATCCCATCCTCTAGCTCTAAACTACTCGCCAAGTGGCAAGGACCCTTCGTGGTCACACGACGAGTGGGGGACATAGATTATGAGGTGGTGCGTTCTGACAGAGGGGGAGCAACACAGATTTACCACCTTAACCTCCTGAAAGCATGGAGGGAGGTGGCATCTGTTTCTCTGGCCACCACGGTGATTGAGAGAGATGAGTTGGGACCGGAGGTCATTAAAAGCAACAAAGTAGCCCCGGTCTGTTGTGGCGACAATCTCTCACCGGGCCAGAGAGCAGACGTTGCTTCGTTGCAAAGGCAGTTTGCCGACGTGTTCTCTACGCAGCCAGGGCGCACCTCTCTCATACACCACCGCATAGAAACGCCCCCGAAGCCGCTTCTGTATTCTCCTGACTTCTCTCTCCCTTTTGTGTTGCAGACCGACGCCTCGAACAGTGGGGTGGGGGCCGTTTTGTCCCAGCATGTAGAGGGGGTCGACCGCCCCGTTCTGTACATTAGCCGTAAGCTCGCCCAGAGGGAGGTGAACTACAGTACGGTGGAAAAGGAGTACCTCGCCATACGGTGGGCGGTCGGCGCCCTGCGGTACTACCTCCTGGGGCGCCCTTTCACCCTCTGGTCGGACCATGCCCCGTTCCAGTGGCTCCACCGCATGAAGGATGCCAACGCTCGGATCACTCGGTGGTATCTGGCGATACAGCCTTTCAGGTNGAGGCGTCGGTCTGCAACACAAAAGGGAGAGAGAAGTCAGGAGAATACAGAAGCGGCTCACCACAGAGGGCTTTTTTAACCCTCTCAAACGCCAGCTGACACCGCTCCGTCCACTGGACCGGATCTGAAGCACCCTTTCGGGTCAGGTCGGTCAGGGGACTGGTCAGCTCCGAAAAGGACGGGATGAACCGCCTGTAGTAGCCGGCCAGCCCCATGAACCTCCTGACCTCTTTTTTCGTCTTGGGCGCCAGACAGGCTGAAATGGCGGTTGTTTTCTCTATCTGTGGCCGCACCTGCCCGCCGCCCAAGTGGTACCCCAGATACCGTACCTCCCTCCGTCCAACCGCACACTTCTTCGGGTTGGCCGTGAGCCCCGCCTGCTTCAGGGACTCGAGCACCGCCCCCCACCTGCTGCATATGCTGCTCCCATGTCTCACTGTGAATGATGACATCATCCAAGTAAGCAGCAGCATATGCAGAGTGGGGACGCAGCACCCTGTCCATGAGCCGCTGGAAGGTGATTGGAGCTCCGAACAACCCGAAAGGAAGTGTGATGAATTGGTATAAACCATACGGAGTGGAGAAGGCCGTTTTTTCCTTAGACTCTGGAGAAAGGGGAATCTGCCAATAGCCTTTGGTTAAATCCAGCGTCGTGTAAAAGCGAGCAGTGCCTAGCCGATCCAGGAGTTCGTCGACCCGGGGCATTGGATAAGCATCAAATTTGGACACCTCGTTCACCCTGCGGTAGTCCACACAGAACCGGATTGACCCGTCGGACTTACGTACCAGCACGACGGGCCCCCAACGAAGGCACGTTTCGCTCACACGCCTGGCAAGAGATGCAACGTTTTCCGTCACTCGGCGTGGAAGAGTATGCTGGTCGGCGTACCTGCGTGGGCGCGCGACGCCGGTAAGCGAAGTGCCGGACCTAACGCCGCGGCTGCACGGATTTGTGTCGCTCCTTCTTAACAAGTCCGGCTCGAAGTTCGATACGATCTCGTCACCCCCCGCCCTCACTATCTTTCTCAGGTGGTGCACTGNAAAAATCTACACAACACACAAGGGGACGGGTAATAACCGGAAAAGCATAATTTCCCAGTGGTGGAATAAGTACTCAGGTCCTTTACTTAAAGGTCCCATGTTATGCTTTTCCGGTTATTACCCGTCCCCTTGTGTGTTGTGTAGATTTTTCTGCATGTAAACGGTCTGCAGAGTCCCAAACCCTCACCCTACACCCTGTAGCGAGTAAAACTATAACACAGAAAAGATGTGTCTATGCTGCCCCAAAAACGCCTCGTTAGACATTTTTCTTCTTCCATTTTTTTCTTCCAGGGCCTATTGACGTCATTAAGTCCAAATGGACCAATTGGCACACAGCTATAGAACAATAGGCACACCCTCTGCCAGGGTGGACTCCCGAGCAGCTCAGGAGTCCGCCCCGCAAGGCCCCCGGAGCAGACAGTGTGAGGTGGATTACCCGCTGTGTTTCCCTGGATGCTGGAGATACACACACACACACACACACACACACACACACACACACACACACACACACACACACACACACACACACACACACACACACACACACACACACACACACACACACACACCTCATCTGTTTGTCATGACTGCTGTCCTTTTCTGGTTGCTAACGCCATTGTAACACATAAACACGGATGTTCCGCCGCTGTTGACTAATCAGAACAGAGTGGGCGAGCTGACCAACAAGGCGTTTAGGACAGAGAGTGAATACACATACTTTACAGAGATGCTGTATGAGAAACCAATGTGATTGTGGAACATTGAACAATGTAAATCTATTCTAGGATACCTCAACAATTGAATTATGATCAGTAGAAATGGCCAAGACATGGGACCTTTAAGCAAAAGTAGAAATACTAAAGTCTAAAAATACGTCATTACAAGAAAAAGTCCTGATTTAAAAATGTGAAATCAATGTAGTGGAGTAAAAATTACATAATTTGCCTCTTGAGCACCAGGAAAAGTGCTTTATAAATGTAATGTATTATTATTATTATTATTATTATTAAATGCTAAGGAGAAAGGGTATAAAGAGTTAAGTTCCAATACTTAAGAGAAGAATGTCAAAGTACGTTACTTGAGTAAGTGTACGTAGTTACATTCCACTACTGGGAATGAGTTAACAGACATGTTCACTACAGGATGAATTATAATAAAACATCCCCTCTCACCTGGGTCAGAGATCTTCTCCTGCCCGTATTTGGTGGAGGTGACAACCACAGCAGCCATGTCATTAACGTGGCGCGAGGCCTGCTTCAGGGTCTGCAGCTTCTTGTTGTTACGGTCGGCCTTCACCTAAAGTAACAAAGCAGCACTTCAGCATTCTTCTACATCTCCATACATCCAAAGAGCTCTTAAAAACAACGTGCTGCTATCCAAATAAGTTTTACATTTATAATGAAAATGTGTCTGTTTGCCTGAATAATACCAGACATTACTTAAGAAAACAATACACAACAGCAACATTTGGGATTTTTTTTAAAACACCACCAGGTACCTTTATGGAGATCAGACTGCTTTTCATGCAAACAGAACTTTTTTTTAACTTGACTTTGTACCTTTGAGGCAGCAAGGAGCTGAGCTGTGCTCGCAGCGATCTCATGTGAACACGCGATGAGCTCCTCGTACGCTCCTTTTTCAGCCACCACCCGGTCCGCTGAGTCTCTGATAGCAAGTGAAGAACAGTACAGGTTCAATATATAGGGGTTCAGAACATATGACTAATATTGTACAGCATGTCATTCTTGGACACTTACAGCAGCTGTGTGGCGCCCCAGCCAACAGCTTTAGAGGCAGAGATGAGTCCCTCTGTCCAGCGAGAGTTCTTGCCATAAAATTCTGTAACAGAAGCTGCTCCCTACAGGAAGAGCAAAAGTGTCAGTATGAAGAACATTGAACTGGTTTCTTCTTGAATACTTTACCCACAGTAAAAAAATGCAGAACTGCCATATTTTCAACATCAATTTATATCTCTAACACAACTCTTAAATGTTACTTTTGCTTATAATGTTGCCGGAGCAGGTTTGAAACTCAGCTGTAATTTCTTTTTGTGACTCACCCTGCCTCCTTCCACGATGTCTTTTTGCAGGTCAGCAGAAGCTGTAACCAGCATGTGAACGGCCTGGAGAGGAAAAAAGGAGATCAGGAGAAACTCTGAGTGAACATAAATCACACAAGTTCACAGAAATGTATTGTAAAAGTAAAGACACGGGTGTGATTTTTATGTACCATGTATGTTATATATTTGTTGAATACATAAAAAGTAAAAAAAAAAAAAAGTAAAGACACATTTCTTACCTTCATCAGGTCTGAACAGGATCCCAGGATACTGTAATGAAAAACAGAAAAACATCCCACAGGTGCTGGTAAGAAACTGACGGAGAGAAGATTAGAAAACATTTACTAATTTAGAACAATACAGTATTTTTCTTACCTCTGGTTGACCTCCAGTTTGATGCCAGAAGTGTCTCTCTTTGCCTGATTCATTATCTCCTGAGAAGCAGAAGTTTGAAATAGAATAGTTAAGAATCACAAAGGGTATGTGTGTATGTGGTCCAGTTTGTCAGGTTTATCCATTATGATGTGTCCTTACGTCCATTCTCAGCACAGCCTCTTCAATGGCAGTTGATGTGGCGATCATCTCTTTATCCACCAGGTATCCCAGCTCTCCTTTTTGCAGATCCTGCCCTGTTGGACGCAGACCCTAAACAGGATTGATCATGTACACGTCAGAAATTCAGCAGCAAATACTTAGTTACAGTATACAAATACTTTACTTTTTCTCCACTACATTTGTATGAAAGCTTAAGTTACTTTTAAGCTTCTCACCAACAGTGCTACACCTAATATACAAATACATTCTGAAGTATTATGAAAGGTTAACATAAGAGTTTCTTGATCCCTTGATGAATTTGACCAGCTAACCAGCATAAAGTAATTCAACAAATAAAATATAAATTGCTATCAATAGCTGTTTGCTCTTATTACTCTGATGAAGGTAAAATCTGTGTCACCTGTGCCAACCCGAGGAGGCGTTGGACAGTGAAGCGCACGGCGGAGGGATCTGCTCGCTGTAAACTGGCCTGAATCTTTAGATCTTTCAAGAACTGAAGGCAGTGATTCGCACAATCCCGACAGCTGTCAGTCAAACCTGCATGAGAAGGAAACCGGAGTGTTTACTGTGTGTTTATACTGTATTTAGTTTATGCCTTTTCAGTTTCCGTGTGAGTGTGTCTCTTACGGTCGGCCTGGTCGGTGGGAGCAGAGTGAGATGTTGCTGCTCCGTTGACAATGGTGTCAGCAGTGAGGTGGGAGAACTGTGTGACCGCTCTCAGCAAACCACTGGCATCTAAAAACAAAAGGGAGGAGCCTTACATACACTCGTCATCTAAAACAAACATACTTTGCCTCTAAATCAGAACACAAGCACAGCTCACTCACCATTCCTGTTTCCCAGGTAAACCACGTGACTCTGCTGCATTTTGTCAATAGAACCCAGAGTGATTTCAGCTCGGTTTATCAAATAATCTGAAAAAGAGAAAGAAAATTGAAATGGGAAATGATACGAAAAAGCATTGAGCAATTCTAAGATGTATATACATAATGTAGGAGGATATCATAGTGAATTTAAAACAATTTAATAAATGTTTATATACTGCTCTTAAATGTTCCGTTGATGGGATATAAATAACATGTTATCAAATGAATGTCAATTTAATCTAAAATGAAAGCAAGTGATGCTATTATTGTCAGTACTAACTTTAATAATTAAGTTAAGTATTATGTACATACAGTTTTATGTAAATACATTTATTCGTCTTTGGATTGTTCGTTTTTATTTTCATTTTTTTCTTCTATTATATTTAGGATGTTCCCTCTTTTTACTGAGACAAAATAACCTTTTAAAGGACCTAAACCTAAGCAATTTTCACTATTTTTGAAACTTTTATAGACTGATAATAAAAAGAATCGCCATTTCAAAAACCTACTTTTATGCAGATATGGTGTAACTATTGGAATTATTTGGTGGGGGACAAAAGAAATAAGGTTTTACCAGGTGAGCTGATGCAGCTGAGGTGAATGGGGTCGTCCAGTTTGGCCACAGCATCCAGTATGATGCCCTCGGCCTCCACCACAGCACACTGCAGCAGACAGAACTGCTCGTCCTGCAGCTTCTGGGTCAGCTCACCCTCACGACACGCCTAGTGATGATATATAAACTCATCAGTAACTAACCACTCCATGGTAGGTCACACAGATTGCACAGGTGATATAGTGTGTGTGCAGCACCTGTTGCTGTATCTGGGCGTGCAGACTGCCCACTTCCATGCTGCTCCTCTGCCTCTCCTGCTCCAGGGAGCTGTGGTGGAGCTGGGCCTGCTGGCGGAGGGAGTTCAGCTCTGCCTCCTGGTCCCTCATGGAGCGCAGCAGCACCTCCCTCTCCGCCTGCAACCCTGCTAGAGAGCTGCTCAGCTGGGTCCCACTCTGAGGAGATAAACATGCATCAATCAGTTTTTTCAGAAGAGGATTTATAGACGAAGTGAGAAAGTTAGCATTAGTATTCCTACCATTTCTCTGCTCTGCAGGGCGCCGTTTGAACGATTTAACTCCGACCGTGTCGAGTCCAACTCTCGCCTCAGACGGTCGATCTCCAACTTCTGCTCTGCATTGATGGTCAGCTGTGGAAAGGCAAGTTTAGTTTATTTGTATAGGACCTTTGAAAAAGAAGTCAATAAAAAGTCCTTAAAATACATTTGTATTAAGAAATTATATTAAATAAACACAAGACACATAAATACGCTTGAAAGAGAATAAAATAAATATGGGATAAAAATCTGCGTGATGCTCAGCTACTGCTCAGACAGAAATGTAGACACAAGTTTGACGTAAAAGTGCAGAAATAAACAGAAATGTTTAAGCCTTAATGTATATAAAAGAGTTAGAGCAGAGAGTTTGTTTTCTACTTTTGCTCGTTTTTATTATCTTGTATATTTGTGTTTTTGCAAAACACATGCAGATAAAAATATTACCAGGAAAAATGCACATATCTAGTTACTGTCTGATGACTCTGTACCTGTTGCTGCAGCTGCGCCCTGAGGGCCTCCAGCTCTCGGAGCAGGCGGTCCCTCTCCAGGTCCTGGGAGCCCTGCTGCTGCTGGGCCTGCTGTCTCAGCGAGGAGAGCTCTGCGTCTTTCTCTCGAGCGGAGCGCAGCAGTAGCTCCCGCTCGGCATGCAGAGCTGCCAGGCTGCTGCTGAACTGAGACCCCTCCTGAAAAACACAGAAATATGTAAGTGCATGAATTAAACCTCTAAATAAAACCATTTATTGAGTAAAGCTGCAAATCGCACTTTTCTGTGAGCCAAACGACAAGCACATGGAGTATTATACTCCTATTCTGTCTGTCAACACAATGAGTGATATGTATATTTTTGATTTATGTATTTAATATTATTTATAATATTATTTAGCAGGGACAGTGGCCATTAATATGTATTTCTGAGTGAGCCAAGAAACATACTATAATGAGCCAAATAAAGGCATCCCAAAGATGCTTTATTTGACATGCTGCAGAGTAAATAAGACTGGGTAGAGATGTAACAGTCCCAATACATAAACTCCTAAAAGTAAATATTGGATGAACTTTTTAGAAACTAAAAATATTTGATCAAACTCATAGTCAAAGCTTTGTAAATGTAATGGCAAAACATTTACTTTAGCCTGATGGTGGTGCTGTAGAGTTAGTTGGAAATGTTAAAACTCATACTGAGTCAGGTGTCTTTCTTGCTGTGATTGTTGATCTCTACTGCAGTTTAACCCTTCATATATCTATTTCATGAGACAATAAAGTGTTTAGAAAACATAAATTGCTCGTTATCATACATCCAGTCTCACCATGTCTTTGTTGTCCAGCGTGCTGCGAAGGAGAGCCAGCTGGGCCCTTTGCTCCAGAAGCTCTTTGTTGAGGCGCTGAAACTCCTGCTGCTGCTGATTCATCTGATCAGGAGAGGAGACAGTGAGTAGTTACCTACCACAGTCTTTGTTTTTCAACACAAAACACTTTCTTGTGGAGAAATATCATAACAGAAGGTGTTCTTTTTCTGTGCTGTCTGCAGCAGTTATGAGTCTCACCATGTTGCTGTTCTCCCGTCGTAGATTTTCCAGCTCGATTTCAAGCTGCTGTTTGCTTCTCAGCAAATCATCTTGACCATGTTTTGTACCAGAGAACAACTTCACTGTTTCTGCATTCTGCAAACACACAAAGACAACATTATATGCGTGAACCGGATTCTGTGCAACAGCCTCATAATCAATGCGAAAAAGAGGAGAACATTTATAGTTATTTTAGGAATGATACTTCAAAGTGTCTTTATCTCAGGTTTTTCTCAAAATGACATAGAATGAGTCAAAGAAACAACAAAGACGAGGAGGTTTACCTTCTTCATTAAGTCAGCGTGGCTGGTGATGAGCTCTGCATGTCTCTCTTTGAGTTGAGTGAAACGAAGCTCTGCTGACTGAGCTCGATCTGTGGAGACAATGGGATGAAAAGATACATTAAGACTAAGCTCAATTTATATTTCACCAGTGCATAAATCGGCTTACTTACGGTCTGCCTCCTTGTATCCGATCTGAGCCCCGACGTTGGCGACATTAGCGCACCGTAAGCCCTCCACCTCCAGCCGCAGGTGCTCCTTCTCCACCATGGCCATATGTTTGTAGTTACGCTCCTCCTCGACCTCGGCCTCCAAGCGATTCACCTGAGACTTCAACTCAGTTAAACACCTCCGAGCCTGAGAAAAAGATCACATCATATCATATATAATAGTTAAACACTCAAAGGTAACATTTTACTGCACAAAGAGTACATTTACTTGTCAAACCTTTGAGTACTTTTTTGATACATACTTTTACATAGGTTTTGATTGCAGGACTTTAAGTTGAAGGGGAGTATTTTCACAGAAGGGTTTAAGTCTTTTCTTTTTAAGTAAAGGATCTGAAGACTTCTTCCACAACTGAGTATATATCCAATGTGATAATCTCACCTCAGACTTGATGAGCTGTAGTTCTGGTCTGAGCGCCTGCAGCTCTCTCTTCAGACCCTCGTTTTCGGTTTCCCTTTGGTCCACTGAAACATCCTGTGCTCCCATTTGGTTTGGCAAATAGTACTGTCATGAGAAAGAAATTAAACGTCAGCCGTCCGTGATACCAGATAAGGAGGTGGAAGGCATTTTTTTCTCATTTTTGTCCCGCATGTACCTGTGGCATCTGTGGTGCTTCTCTGGTCTCTGGTTGCTGTTCCGCCTCCTCTCTGTCGGTGCGTTCCTCGTTAGGTATCACCACCACCGCCCTCTTATATTCAGCCAAGGCAGAAGCGCGGAGGAAGTTTGGTGGAGCCTGTGTATTAAACAAAACCTTTTATTTTCAATTAAGGACTTTACAGTGTGGAATGAGTACTTATGTTAAAGGTCTGAATACTTCCTTCCATTTTTCAAGTTAAATCTACAGAAATAGTTATGGTACTTACATCAGGGAGATCTGGGATCTGGATAAAAGTTTTAAAAAACTCAGTTTCCCTGGCTCTGTCAAAGAATGGTTTGAGGCTGCAGAGGAAAACACATCTGTCACTAACATAACCCAGAGATGAAATAAAAGTGTGTATTTGCTAATAGCTCTGAAATCCTACCTGTTAAAAAGATCTCGGAACCGCTCTCGATGTCCAAGAAGAATATCTGGAGCCATGCCTGTAAAGCAGAGGATATGATTATTACTTTTGAAGGCTTTATCTAACACTATAGCTCGATTAAATAGAAAAAACATATTTCTCACTTACAGCTGTGCAGTTTGAACATCAGCAGGACAGTGAAGTGGTAGAGGAAGCTGCAGTCCAGTATCAGAGGAATCAGAGGAGTCAGTCTGCACTGTCCAGCTGGAGTATCAGATTTGGCGCCGTTGGCATCAAGCTGACGCAGAACTTTGAACAAGAAAAACGCGTAATCAAATAAATATCTGAACAATTCTGGTGCTACTCTGTATTTTATTTATTGCCAACACATCCCATTAAATCCTCAGCAAGTGTGTGTATCATAATCCTAAAAACATCTCTAGAATGATCGAAAAAGGTGGACTCACCTGTCTCCTCCATCTTCAGTCCAGCATCCAGGTAATCCATCAGTTCCTGTGTCATATCCAACCTGCAATACATTTAAACCACATTAATGAAGCACATGCTTCATTAATGAGAAACAGAAGCAGTTATTGATGGTGGTAAACTTACACTTTGTTTTTGTCATTTCCTGTTTCCTTGTCCAGAGTCTCATCACTGGCCTCCAGGTTGCCTGGGATCAGCTTGTGCTGTGAATTTATTTTGTAATTAAAAGTTGTATCATTTTAAATGTTAACATGACATAATATAAACCCTTTAACAGTTTTATATAGCAAAATATATATAAGTTACCTTTGCATGAAATTCCATTTTGAGGCAGAGGAATTTTGCAGACAGTGCAACAATCTGGCCGTATCGATCATGTAAGCTTCCCTGGAATAACAATAAAGAGTTGTCATTGGTTTATTTACACAATTCCATAGAAAGATCAAATGTACGAAGCCAGAACAAAATACTAATTAAAGATCATGGCTATCATTACAATCTTTGGCTCTGTATGAGCAAATATTTTTAGATGTCTAGCGTTCAATGTTTAACATATATTTATTTAATTTAGACTAACTTAAAAACACAAGACATTTTTATTTAAAAGTGGGAGACTGAGGCACACATTTCTTTATCTATTTACGCTACGTCATACTTCTACTCCAATTTACTACAAAAGTAAATCACTATACTTTCTACAGTTCTACTATGTGTCACTTTTCAGATTAGATTTAGCTTTTACTGGTACTTCCTACAAACATTTGACAATTAAGTACTTCAAACATTACTAAAGTAAAAGATCTAAATACTTCTTCATCCTCTGCTACTCACCCAGAGAACGCCCATGTCTTTGACGTTGCGGCAGTATCTGTGAGAGTCTCTAACGACCTGTAGTCAAACACAGAGGGGCGAGGTTACAAAAGGAAGAGTGGGTAAGGGTGAGACAAAGGAATCAAAGAGACAACAAATAAAAGATAGAGAAGATGTTTTTAGATTTGAACTCACATTTCTCTGTCCCCCCCGGAGCACTTTGTGCAGCAGGTAGCAGAACTTCCAGCAGATCATGGAGTTGCTGGAGAGAGGCAGGTTGAGGGTGTAGGACCAGAAGGTGGCGGCTCCACTCTCCTTATACGTTCCCATGATAATATCTTCACTGCTGTCAAGGAATCTCCAAAAATACTAATGCAATAACTCAACATAAGACTTGTGTCTTGGCAAGATCATCCCTTAAGGGAGGAATTAATAAAGGAACAGTTTGATTTGAAATTTCAGTACACTTGTCTTTTCTTATAGATTTCAGATGACTGGTTCAGAGTGAAATATATTAACAACTTTTCATTTATTGCCATATTTTCTTATCGAGACATTCGTGTTCCTAAGAGGATGATTCCTAAAAACGCTTTTGAACCTCAGACTTTCTATCTAGCGCCACCAGCAAGTCAAATGTTAACTTAATTAGTGTTTTGCTTTAAGTTAAGCCTCACAAAGTCATTACCATGCATGCACGGTGTACTCTTGTCTTGTGTTAGTGAAATGAATTTGGATGTACTTTCTTACTTAATTGGGACAATGCAGTTAAAAACACAGTGTGAAACTGATGTCTTTTGCAGAGTTTGTGCTATAGCTAATTTTCAAGTCTAATACCTAGTTGGGCTTTTAGATGTATAGTTAAAATATACAGCTTTCTAGTTCATAAAACAGCAATATAACGTAAATAGAAATACAATAAAAAACACACCGCATATTGCAATTACTACAATACCGTCACAGATTTTGTTTGTCAGTTAATGGACCAAGTTGAAACATGGTTTAAAATGATACTGCGCACATATTTCTCTTTAAGTGGAGTTTCTCCTGAGACGAGAGTTTTGCTGATGCTGTGGAGCTGAAAGAAAAGAGACTCAACTTTAGTCAAAGTCAACTTTCCTACAGGTAAACAACAACTGCCGCTTGCGGAAATAGATAAAACGATAAGATAACAAAAAGAAAACACAAGGTTGGATATAGACAAACACGTCAACGGGGAACATTTAAAGAACGTTTACAATAGTGAAAAAATGTACTTAAAAGATCTTATTTTTGTAGGGTTTAGCTTCACACTTTTACACAGTGATACAATGTTACTTATCAAGGTGGTTCCCGTAAACTGGATTTCACAAACTATAGAACATGAAAACAATAAACCTGCTCCGACGTATGAAGGTTTGATTGTAATAAATAATAAAAACATACCTGTTGTTTAGCGAACTGCTCTTTCTCAGCAGCCAACGCTTTTTCCGTCTTATTTTCGCTTTTGTTCTTCGTTTTGCTCATGTTGTTGCTGTAAATCCACACAAACTATAATGATATGAATCCAAGAGGTCTAGCTCGAGGTGTCTGCTCCTCACCTGTGCCCTCGCGAGTGAGTCGCGACCCTTTAAAACAACAATAGGTGCGTCACACGCTATGGTCAGACGTGGCGCGTGCACGTCCTCAAAAGAGCTCTCCTATGTCCTTAGTCGCTTCTTCAGATAAAGATTACAGTCTGCTCAATTGAAATAAAAACCAAGCCGTTTCTCCTGTACGTAAAAGCCCTCCAGATGAGTAAAAACGCGCATTGAAAAATATATTCACAGCAACAAAAAAACTACTGACACGTAGTTTACATATAAAAATATTTGTTTTAATAAAAAATGAAGTTATAAAATGTAAAAACGATGAACAGCTATCGACAATTCCTCTTGAGTCACCGGGCAAATGTGTAGGCAGTGAAACTGGAAAGACAATACAGGGACACACACTCAACAGCCCTGAAGGACAGGTTTCCCCATGTGATTTCACACACTTCACACAATGCAGCCAGCCTGTACAAATCTGAAACAGGGCTTTAAAACATACACAATGTATGATTAATGTATCCCCTAAATGATGTGTAAGGTTAAACAAATACAATGAGATTAATGCTTTCAAAAGTTACAAAAAAATTCATGACATAAATCGCTTTTATTCCTTCATTATTTTCCTGAGAGAGAGAGTTCAACCTTTAACTGTTAGCATATATGTTCTGTAGTAATACTGATTTTAAAAGATTTGGTAAATACTAGAGTTTTTAATAAAAATACAAGTGCTTCAGTCAAAATCAAGCCTTCCAAACGACCGGTGGTGACGAGGGCAGGCTTTGGGTGGAGTCTCAGTGGCCTGTTGGAGAAAAAATTACGATGCTGTTATGCCTTCACACACCCAAACTACAAAAAGGAACAGTTCAACTGAACACTTTACACCCTTAATGCCACACCCCATGAATACAAATGGGAGAGTCAAATCGTTAAGAGGCCCAGCATCATGAAACTACCTTGTAGGTCGGGGAGACTGTGTGGTTGTGGTGATGGTGGTCATTGTGGGATACCGGGCTCTTATGTGAGTAAAGGGGTTCAGTGGTCGCACAGCTCATAGTGTGAACACTGTTACTGTGAACAGAGCAAGTGACCTGCTTGGACTCGTTCAACATCTGCTGCAGAGAACAGCTGGACAGAGGATCATCACCCTGGTGAGAGGAGGAAAGAGGGCTTTAAGTGATCAGCAGTACATAAATACACTTACATGTTTTCTTGCCGGGAGTAAGATTACAAGAGTGATACCAGTCTCAACCTTTGCACATTCCTAACATTATTATTTTGCATATTTCTGCGCAATACTACCACTTTTAAAATACACCACGCTAATTTATTAGGAGCTGACAGTAACTTCATATTCAATGTAGAGACATTAAGTGGGTATCAATCTTCTTATTTAACTCTCAGTAAGAAAGCATATACATTAATGACCATTCCTTTACAATGTTGACCATTTCTATCACACTGATGATATAAATAATGTGTTCCTAAGAACTTTATCTAGACTTCTTTAATTTACAAAATTGCTCTCAATATGAGGCACTGTTTCTGTCTTACATCAATGGAGTGTGCAGATAAGTCTTGCAGGTCACTGTGACCCCTGGTGTGCAGATTGGCTGCTGGTGGAGAGGGGGCATCATTTAAAAGTCTGGAGTTCTTCACTCTGAGTGATGGAGGGGACCGTCTGTCCACACAGAGACACCTCAACTCCTCCTGACTGAGACAAAAAAGAAACAGGACTGATGAATATCACATATCTCTATTATATTGAAATGTGTTATACATTAAAGCTCAATATGGGTCTTAGTACTGTCATTACCTCTTTATTTAGCTAGATGCATGTCTAGCTGCATGGCTGCACTGTATTGAAGTCTTAAATAGAGCTGACTCCTGCCTTTGAATTACTTTCAGTAGAATGTTTCAGTGTTTCAATTGTGTCCATGGCAGCCATTATGAACCCATTAACCATTTGTACTTTGGTAATATGTCTTATATGAGGATGTTTTCATTCAATGCCATAATTCAACTTTAGTAGGTGCCTCTGAGATGTTGTGGAGAGAAAGCACAGAGTGTGTGTATAACCCAGTTAAATTCAACCTCTGTCAATAATTGTAACTTATCTGTATCTATTCCTCTTTAATGCAAATGCTTTTTCTGCAGTGCAGTTGTTGTTTGTTCTGCATATTTCTATACCAATAATAAATAGATATTTAAAAAGAGAAGAACAAATAATATAAAATAAAACTTATTCAGATCTATGTTTAGGGTTTCAGAGAAAAGTCTTGGCAAATGATCGCTGCTCTCAAATGTTTCATGTTCCTCTGTTGTTCTCAGAGGGTCTTACGCTCCTCCTCAATGCATGAAAGCTGGTTGTTTCTTTCATTGTCCTCACCCAACTCAAACTCAGTAGCTTCTATAAAGCAAGAAGTTATGAAATGAAAGAAGTTTATATATCCTTCATTCCTACATCATGCATCAACTCTTCGCTTTTGTTTTTTTTGCACATTAATTACCTGCCCGGTATTCCCTGACTGGTCTTCTCCCGCAGAATATCCCGGGTACTCTCCAGGTTTAACTGCAGCAGCTGCAGGTCATTACGCTGATTATCGCACACCTGTTAATTAAAACAAACAAAAACATCATTACGTATTACATATATTGTTACCTTTATTACCTTATATACTATGTTGTATTTCTATACTAATACAGACAAACATTACTTTATAGATGCACTATACCTTTCTGACTTCGACGCTGTCTTTTGCCTTGTCTTTTTTCTCTTGTATAGTTTGTATTTTTGTTTTATATACCTCTTACTCTAGATTTTTCAGTTTCTCTATTTATCTCTATTTATTTCTACTTATGCTGCTATAAAACGGGGGGTTACGTATGTTAACCCTTGTTATATAAACACAGGCGGAGCCCTCTACTGGACTTTATGGGTACTTCCCCTTGATCCTATCATGCAAGCATTCATCCACTGAGACTTTCTAGACGTAGCCGGCCCCGGGGCGGGCCTACCTGAATGCGCGCGCATCTCACCGTATAAAAGGAAGCCTCGCCTCCTGACTGTCATCCTAAACTTCTCTTCAGCAAGCAGCATAGGACAGGCAGGGCCCCTGAGTAGAGGGCTCCGTCTGTTTTTATATAACAAGGGTTACCATACGTAACTCCTCATTATATCTCTCACAGGCTCTGCCCTCTACTGGACGCTATGGGTACAGTGGGCGGAGCCCCGATGTATACACGCGCTGTCACCCCACAACAACACTGTTCCATCCCACTGTTTCTGACCTGCTTTCTGGTTAGCAGCCGCTGTGCCTCACTCACCTCTCCCTCGGTCGTAACCGTGGAGAAAATTGAGGATGCGGCTGACAGAGCACACCCTGACGCGCTTACCCCGCGGAGGTGTGCTATGGCGTGGAGGACTCCCCCCCCCC